ATAAAGATGGTACTTATAGAGTATGTAGCTTGTACTTATAGGAACATGAAGCTGGTACTTATAGATTATGTAGCTGGTACTTATGGAGTATGTAGCTGGTACTTATAGGAACATAAAGATGGTACTTATAGTGTATGTAGCTTGTACTTATAGGAACATAAAGATGGTACTTATAGAGTATGTAGCTGGTACTTGTAGGAACATAAAGATGGTACTTATAGAGTATATAGCTGGTACTTGTAGGAACATAAAGATGGTACTTATAGAGTATATAGCTGGTACTTGCAAGGTATGTAGCTGGTACTTATAGGGTATGTAGCTGGTGCATATCTATACACATGAGAATAGATACAGTACATGTCTCTTCTCCTCCTACATGTCTCTGTGTGAGTGCAGCTACAGCGTGCGCTCTCAGGACATCATTACCTGCAGTGTTCCCTCAGTGAGGACTGAACTAGACAAAGGACCTTCTCCTACTCCGCTCCTGTTTCCTGGAATATCTTACAAAAAGATCTGAAGCTCTCGACCTTTGACCTCTCTAAGTGTCTTTAAGAATCTGTTGGACTCCTGGCAGGGACCAATGCAGACATGTTCCTGTTTTTAGTTTTCTACATTCGCCTTAGAATCTAGCTGTTTTTGTTACTTTTCTTTTTTTTAGATATCCTATTTGTAAAAAAAAATAATAAAAAAATTGTATGACTTTTTATAACTGCTTATTGTTGTCGTTGTTGTCATCAATCTTTGTTGAAATCAGGTCTCTCTTGTAAATGAGTCCTCGAGGCTCAATGAGATTTACCTGTAGAAATAAAGGTTGAACATATAGAGTAGCTGGTACTTACAAGATGTGTAGCTGGTATTTTATAAGATATGTAGCTTTTTTCTCTCTAAGTTCATGGTACTTATAGAGCATATTTGTGATACTTTCTACATACCTGCTATTTTTTGGGGATGGACATTGCCACAGCACTTTTCTACTTACACACCTGGCACCTTTTGGGTACTTAACGTGTTTATACCTATTCCTTGCCATGTACATACTATATCTGGTACTTGATAAATACAGAGTTATTTTATGTATTATGAACTGCTACTAAAATACTTTACCTCGTCTATACGTAGGTCTCATGTATTTTGGTGGATTAGATGAAGAGCGTTTATGTATGTTTGGTTTATGGCTGTCCTTGTGACCGGTCCTTATTGTCCTTTAGGAACAGGTGCCTCTTCAGGTGCAACCTCATGATCAAAATGATAATAACTGACCTAAATTGAAACCTACGTGACTGCAGACATGTACGAGGGGAGGCATGCAGGTGGAGCGATATGAGAA